CATGACACCATTTTCAAAATACATAAACTAAGCCCTTCTCAAATATGGTATCAGAAATTAGTTGAATGATGGGGGGGGAAGAGCACTAAAGAAAACATGCATATGCATTTCTGTCTTCTGGAACAACCATTCGGCTTTAAATACTTAGTTTACAGTATAACGAGGTGAAGCCATAATGCCCGCAGTAACTTGCTTTCCTGACTGTGGCAGAAATCAGTCATTCCCTTTTGTCTTACCTTAGACAGCAAAGTTTTCCTGTTAGGGCCCAGAGAGTAAGCACTTGAGCCTGTGAGACATAGGGGCTGTCACTACTCAAGTCTGCCTTTGCAGCCCGAAAGACCCAGAAACAATCTGCACATGAAAGAGCATAGCAGCGTTCCAGTAAGACTTTCATTACAGAAACAGGCAGGGGAGCCGGGTGTGACCAGCAGGCCAGTTGCTAACCCCTGCCTTAGACCATTTGTATTAAAATGCTACCAAATTCATGTTACCCGAGCTTAACCCACTATCTGATAGATAAATAGTACTCTGTTGATGTGTTGTGAATAAATGAAAAGGTCACACAGGCCTGAGGTGTTGTTGAATTTCTCGACCCCGCTCCCCGCATTTGTTTTCCTGGTTCTGCTGTTCAGGATTGGGCCATTTACAGACTAGAAAGTCTGATTCCAAAGCCTATGCCGAGAGCAGCCTTTGACCAGGAGGAAACATTCCATGGTTGTCTCCATGGGGCAAGCTCAGGCTCACAGGGAAAAGTCACAGAGAGGGGCGCCTGGGTGGCTCAGTCGTTAAGCGTCTGCCTTCGGCTCAGGTCATGATCCCAGGGTCCTGGGATCGAGCCCCACATCCGGCTCCCTGCTCTGCGGGAAGTCTGCTTCTCCCTCTCCCACTCCCCCTGCTTGTGTTCCCTCTCTCACTGTGTCTCTCTCTGTCAAATAAATAAATAAAATCTTTAAAAGAAAAGAAAAGTCACAGAGAGGATCCCTCCCACCGAAAGGCCTCCTGATCTCTACCACCAAAGATTTCTCTAGGTTCTGTATAGCATCTTCAAAAGTCCCTTTTTGAAACAGCTTAAGTTTAGAAGGGATAGCAAATTAAGCTCACCCGTCATTTTATAAGGTTTATGTAAATATTGTCAGTTTTTAGTTTGTGTTGTCTTCTGGCTGAATGGGTCTCCGGGAGGGAGGAGCCACAAGATTCGAGAAGCCTAGGGTCCCGAATAATTGCACGCAGTGCAGTCCCCTCTCCCGGCCCCCACGGCCACCCTGCATGGGATACATGCCTCAGTAAGAAACTCTTGTCGTGTTAAGGCGCTGAGGGGTTAGCCTACCTCAGCTAACACAAGTGTGTATCTGTGAGATACATTCTTAAAAGTAATATTGCTGAGCCATTTAAAAGTTAGATGTTGCCCAATTGCCTTGTGAGTTACTGCAACAGCGAAACTCCTACCAATAGTATGAGAGTGTCTGTTTTCCCATCAAGTATATTACCCCACTTTTGGAGCCATTCCAATCTAAGAGGGAAAAAAACCTTCCTTGGTGTTTAGCTTGCATTTCTTTTAACACATAGGAGGGTGAGCACCTTTTCAAATATTTGTCAGGCATTTGTATTTCTTTTTCTGTGTGCTGCCTGTAATTTGCCTATATTTTAATTATTTTTCTTTAACAGATTAATTTGTAATAAAGCTTTATATAGTAGTTAGCCTTTAGTTGGTCAGATGTGCTGTAAATTCCTATTTATTTATTTGTTTGCCACACAGATGATTCTATCTTTTGTTCTTTAACGTAGTGAAACGTGTCATTCGCTTTATGTTTTCTGGGTAATGCCTTCCGCAATGTAAAAACATATAAATATCCAGCTATGGTTTGTTTTGGTGCACTTAACAGTTTCATTAAAAACATCCTCAAATATTTCTTCCACATCAACTTATTTTGATGTAAGGACTAAGGTCAGAGTCCAACCTTTTCTCTTCAATGGTTGTCTCACTGTCACTAAGACTTAATAATAATCCATCATTTTCCCCTTGACCAAAAAAAAAAAGAGCAATATTTATCATGTCATAAGTTCCTGTATTTATTTTTGTTCATTTCTGAACTCTGTTGTCTTCTATTGATCTGCTCTTTGTGAAGCAGTACAATACTCTTTTAATTGCTTTCGTTGTATGACATTTTACTGAATGGATAGGGATACTCTCCACTTGACCTCTTTCTCAAATTTCCCCTGCCTACTCTTACATAGTTATTTGTCTAGATGATGTTTAGAACAATTTAGTGATAATACAAAAACAAATTGTTTTGGTGTGGTTTTTGGAATCACATTCAGTTTATAGCTCATTAATGACATAATTGACATCTTTATATTACTGATTCTTCTTATTCAAGAAAACTACAGATTTCTGTATTTATTCCTAACTTCTCTTCTTATCCAACTGAGATCCCACGGTCTGGGGTTATCATCACTCCCGTGGACACTGTATTAATTAGTTTCCTACCACTTCTGTAACAAACGACCACAAACTTAGTGGCTTAAACGACTCAAATTTATCATCTGACATTTCTGGAGGTCAGAAGTCTGAAACAGGTCTCGCTGGGCTAAAACCAAGGCGCCAGCAGGATTGTATCCTTTCCAGGGAGAATCCGGTTCCTCGCTCTGACTGTTCCTCCATAGTCCTGGCTCTCTCAGACTCAGCTGTAGCCTGGGAAAGTTTCTCTGCTTTTCAATAACCATGTGCTTGGCTCCGGCCATCCCAGATAAACCAGGATCATCTTGCTATCTCAAGGACCTTGACTGATCACATCTGCAAAGATTTGGGAGCGGGTGAGGAAACAGTCGCAGGACGTGGCCGTCTTCGGGAGTGCATTATTCTGCCTACCACTGATGTCCTCTCAACAGTCTTGTCCCTCTCTACCGTCACTGAACTTGCCTAGAAAATCCTAACTCTGGGGAGAGGAGATTGGATTCACTAGGGCTGGGAAATTTAAAGCGCGACGTGGTTATGTTTCGCTGTAGCCATGTTTAGCTGCCAGGATGTTTATTTTGCAATTTAAATTCCCAGCTACTAGCCTCAAATGGACCTTTCGGGCCACACTGCAATCCTGCAACACTGCTGGTCCATTGGCTCCCCTCTCGTCCGCTCCTCTCCTCTTTCCTCCAGCCTCCAGGACCTCCTCGCCATCCTCACTCCTAGCAGATGACATTGCTTCCTAGGTCGCTGACAGCGGAGAGGCAGTCTGGAGCAAAATCCCACGTGCTTGCCCACTGTCTTCTAATCTGTCTGCATCTGCGCCCGTATCACCCATGTCCACCTATCGTTATAGGTCGGGAGGTCAGAGTCTGCTGGTGCTCTGGACCCCACCCCTGCAGTCACTCTTGGAAGTCACCTCAGTCACTTCCCCACCATCCACTCCTCGATTCTTCCCTTTCTATGGGGAACCCCAGCAGCCCGTGAATATGTCAGGCCATCATTCATCTGAGCCCTGGAAGCACCAGTCTCTCGGAGGAAGACGGTCTCCAAACCGATACCCATAAACAAATGCCTACAATCCTTCTAGAGCGACAAAGAACAAAAGTGTGAGCTTGAGTATGTTTTCATTTTCATCATACCCACTGTCTCATTAGACTTGCTATCATTTCTTTAGGTTCTAGGCCGTGGCCACTGTATTGCTTTTTCCTGAATAAATTATCCACACAGTGAATCTGACCCTGTTTAGAACCTCCACTTAGGGGTTCACATGCAACCAAATGGCCACCCTCGGACCAAAGCTGCCATCATGGCACTCGGCGCTGGCCCTGTATTTGAAGGACCTCGGTTGATGTCTATAATCATCTGCCCCAAAGAAGAGCTTCAGAACTCTCTGGTGATTGATGTCTGTTTCTCTCCACCCAGCCACACGATTCCTTCTCTCCTCCATAAATAAGAAATCATTTGTAAATCATTAGTTCCTATTTTGATAGAAAATATCAAAATAACTCCTATAGCTCAAACGTCTTTGAACATCTTGATAGAGCAAATATTACCCTGAATATGCTAGGAACCACACAGTCTCAGTAACAACTAACGGAGACAGAGCTTCCAGCAGATCATTTTTATAAAACTGTTTGGTAAAGGTTATTTATTTAGTGGACTCTTTAAAAAGCAGGAACAAAGAGAAACATCAAATTAACTGGATTAAAAAACAAAGCTACAAAGAATGTTTGTTCCCTCGTATCTTATCTGATGTGCATCCAGTCTGGGTTTCACAGAACTTTTTAGAGTCATCATTCCCTTCACTACAAATTGGGTTTCCCGACAACATTTCTGTTCTGTTCAGAAACTGAAAGAACAACAAATCACCTTTGTGCTACACACTTTCACAAAGTATAAAGTACCCTTACAGAAGACGGTAAACATTCAAAAACACAATTTCATAGATTACAAGATTTCAAATACATGCGTCTTATCTTTACCAGAGTCAGGACCTGTATTTGTGAAAACTTCAGACCCTCAGGCCTGAATGGCTCCAGGGTCACGGTGGTGAACCTCAGCATAGACATGCCAGGTGAAAGATGATAAAAAAGAGTTAACATGAGTATCATCCCTGATTCTGGGTTAGCAGAAGGTCAAGTGACACGTTTTAATAGATTGCAAAAGCATTCTTTTCAACGGATTATTTTGAAATCCTGTTGAAATAGATACGGTTTTAGTTCGAGCTTGAAGTTGACCTTTCCAAAAGTTCTTTTTAATTGATTGTTCTGAAGTTATGTAGACTAGCGAGATACACATGGCTTTCCCTTTCAATAACTCAAGCTGACCTTCCCTTTGAATAAACATATTGGTTGACACATCAACTGTCCCCCTTGAACATGTCTTTCAAAGTGGACATTAATGCCAGCCAACAACCAAGAAGCTGTCGCTTCCTTCCTGTGTTGGTGTCAGGTGTGAGATGAGTCTGCAGCTTGTGGCTTTGGCAAAACAGACGTTTGAGTCACAGCGTTCCCTGGCGGAACGGCGCACACGGCCTTACCTTTGGGAATGGTGATGGGACAGCTCAGGTCACAGTCCTGCTGCAACTGATAAAAAGCCACTTCCTGCAGCCGGGCTCGCTCCAGCTCTGAGAGACTCTGGATGGGGACGGATCTCAGCCGCACGCTGCGGCCAGACATGCTGTTCCAGGTGAAATCACCCTGCAGAACAAGGAGAACACATCAGGAGTTACAGAGCTCATCTATGTCTCACAAAGCTCATCCTTCCTCTTAGTCAGTCACAGAGTCAAGCAAACTTCCTCTTTGGGCTCCAAAATTGTCTATCCATCGCTCAAATCAAATCTACTCTCAGCTAACCATGAATTTTCTCAGTCCGTTGCAAACATCCAAATCTCTAGTATCTGCCGGATCACTTGATCTCATATAATGATTCACACAGAGGCCAAAGAAAGCCATGGGAAAGACAGTTTGAGGGTCCTACTGCCTCTCTTCTCTGGGAACGCATGGGAACTTTTTGGTTATGTATCTCAGTCACAGGAAAAATTGCTGCTAGCTGCCGTCATGCACACTGGATCCAGGAGGGCAAACGTATGGCCAGCCTACTCGGTGCCGGCGACAGTGCCGAGTCGCACCAACAACCTTATGAGGCTGTTACCATTTCTGACCCTATCTTATACAGTTCACCCTTGAATGACACGGGTTTGAACTACACAAGTCTGCTCACTTGTACTTGGATATTTTTGGATAAATACTGTACAGTACTGTAAATGTATTTGCTCTTCCTTATGTATTTCTTTTTTAAAAAAAGATTTTATTTATTTCAGAGACAGAGACAGAATGCAAGCATGCACGGATGGGCGGAGGGGCTGAGGGAGAAGCAGACTCCCCACTGAGCAGGGAGCCCAACTCGGGGCTCGATCCCAGGTTCCTGGGATCATGACCTGAGCCGAAGGCAGACGCTTAACCGACTGAGCCACCCAGGCGCCCCCCTTACGATTTTCTTAATCACATCTTCTTTTCTCTAGCTTACTTTATTGTAAGAATACAGTCTATAATACATACAATATACAGTAAATTTATGTTATTGGTAAGACTTCCAGTCAAGTAGCCTATTAGTAGTTAAGTTTTGGGGGAGTCAAAAATTAAACACAGATTTTTGACTGCATGGGGGTGTTGATGCCCCAGCTCCCACAATGTTCAAGGGTAAACTGCATAGTATTTAATAATACAGTATACTATATAATAATACAATCTAGTATATTTACAATATATAACATATTATTATTAGATATAATACATACTTATGATACATGATTATAATCCATGTGTATGGTACATTATAGTAATATTATAGTAACATTCAGTATCTGTAAATAAATTATAATACAATGCAGATGAAATTGAGGCTTGCAGAAGTTAAGTAATTCTCCCCAAATCGTAGAACTTAACAAGATTTGGAACCAACCAGAACTCAAGCTAAAAACATGTGCCCTCAAACTCTATGCTAAATTGTGTAACCGCTAAGCTTCTATTTACAGCATTCTGAGCTATTTTGATCATGAGAGGTACAGAGATATGATCAATAAGAACCATGTATAATTGCAGAGACATCTGATGTTCAAATCCTCCACATCAAAGAATCAAAGGCAAGACTCCCCCAATTCTGAGTATGTTCATGTGCACACGTACATCCAGAGGGTGAAGAGCTCTATCCTCCCTGCAGACGGCGAGAATGTGATGCCCCGAGAAATAAGACCTCAGGATCTTCTGAAGCCCAATGTTCCCTAACTGAGGAGGACTTCCTGTGACCCACAGATGTCGGCCACCGCCCAAGAGCTTTGAAACATCAAAAAAAGTGCCTTGACCATCAAAAAAAGTTCCAGGAGGAAGGAGCGGTGCTGGCCCCCATGGGCAGTACCCGGGAGCTGCTGTGCATCTGAGGAACCCTTAAGGAACCCCCTAAGACTTCGCCATCCTCACAGCTCACCTCACAAAAGAGAGACAAGAAAGACTGGCCCCAGCAGCTCTTAAAGCACCTGCGTTCCCTCGTGGTAGCAAATTCCTGCCAAAATGTTCATTCCGAGAGTAAATGGCACCCTGTTAATTCTTGGATATTTTTCCCCTTTGATGTGGGGTTGCGTGTATTTATTCATCCATTTAACGGATGGAGATGTTATGCTCTAGCAGGGGCAGACAATCACCAGGGTAAGTAAAGGGTATAGTGTGTTAAATATGGTAATGGCTAGGGATGGACCAAAAAGCAGGGAAGGGGTCGGCAGTGTGAGGACAGGACACGATTTATGTTTCGGAGACAGCGGCCAGGAAAGGCCTCACAGGGAAGGCCACGTCTGGAAAGGAGTTAAAGGAAGTGAGGGCTTTTTGTTTGTCTTCACATGTATGAGTCTGTATCCAGTGGATCATGGTGAGAACTAGCAGGAGCCCAGGCGAGGTTGGGGAGCACGATGTGGGGGACAATCTGGGCAGGGGAGTGAGTGAGCAAATCTAGGCAAAGTGGGTGACTGCTGTCACATCTGGTGAACTGAAAAGAATTCTTCCAGGCCCAGTATATTTTGCATTTTTTTCTTTCTTTTCTCTGTTTTTGGTATAATCGGAGGAAGCCCAAGTTTAGACAGGAGTTGGGGACTCACGCCTTGGGTGTACCTCTCACTCACACCCTTTAGGCTTAGGGTACCACAAGGTACAGTATCAGTGAATTGCATTTTTTCCTCCCAAACGGAAGTTCCAGATGAGTCGGTGACTTTTAAATATGAAGTTTAGGTATCTAGGAAAGCCCACTGCTATTTGAAGTGTCAAAATGGAATTACATGCCTATTCATTAAAAAAGCATTTAAGAGTGAGACCTCCAATTGGCTCAATTATCTATAGCAGGGGTTGACTATCTTTTTCTGTAAAAGGCCAGACAGTAAATATTTCAGGCTTTGTAGGCCATGTGGTCTCTGTCAAAACTACTCAAATCTGTCTTTGTGGCAGAAAGCAGCCATAGACAACTCATAAATGAATGAGTATGGCTGTGTTCCAGTAAAACTTCATTTATAAGAACAGGTGGAAGGCTGGGTTTGTCCAGGGGCTGTGGCTGGCCAACCTCTGAACCATAGCTTATGACTGAAATAAACCAATCCCTATAAGATACATTTTATTTTTATTTGCTATGTCCTCCTGGTTAATTATTTTTTTAAAAATTTAATGAGCACCTATTACATGCTGAGAACACTACTAGGCTTGGGATTATCAAAGTGACAGCACAGTCCTTGTCCTTAAGGAGTTAAACTTTAATAAGGAAAAAGCACATACAATCCATCAAGCCTAGAGATTGTGATACTGGAAGTCAGTACCAGATGCAACGGGGTGTCTAGGAGAAAAGGTTCGGACATCTGTCTGGGGGATCAAGGAAAGCTTTCTCGAGAAGGTGGTGTTTCAGTGGAGACTGGAAGGTTGAATAAGAGGAGTGAAGGTTTGCCCAGTAGAAATGCAACATTGGAAAAAACAGTGGGTGCCAAGGCAAATTAATTTGAGAAAACGAGCTCATTTGGGGAAATTACAGGGTTGGAGGGAGGGAAATAGCGGGAGGTGAAGCCACGCAGAAGTCAAGGCCAGATCCTGGAGGGCTTTTTCTGCGGGCATTGCAAAGTAGATTGGACTTTACTCAGTAGGTGATGGCCAGACATTAAGGAACCTTGAGTGCGAGTGGAGCCTGGTCAGATCTACATACGGGAAAGATGACTGGAAACAAATTTTGAAAGAAATTGAGGGAGGGAGCACATCAAGCATGTAGAGATCAGCAAAGATGCCGAGTTAGGTTTGCTGCTGAGTCAAATTTGAGTAAGTAGAGAGTAACACTCTCTAAGTCTCTAAGAGAGACACCTAGAACCACATACTACTCTTCTGTGATTTTTTTTCAACCATTTAAAACCATTCTTAGCTTGGTGGTACAAAAAACAGCCAGCAAGCTGGATTTGGCCCACTGACTAGAGTTTGCCGATCCCTGATACAAAGAGATTAAGATCTTTTTTTTTTTTTTTAAAGATTTTACTTATTTATTTGACAGAGAGAGACACAGCAAGAGAGGGAACAAAAGCAGGGGGAGGGGGAGAGGGAGAAGCAGGCTTTCCTGCCGAGCAGGGAGCCTGATGTGGGGCTCGATCCCAGAGCCCTGGGATCATGACCTGAGCCAAAGGCAGACACCTAACAACTGAGCCACCCAGGCGCCCCGATCTATTTGTTTTTTAATGGCATCTTTTCTGTTTTCACATGGTCTTCTCTCAGTACATGTCTGTGTCCTAACTCCTCTGCTTATTTTTTTTTAAGATTTTATTTATTTATTTGAGACAGAGAACGCACGCGCACATGCACGAGCAGGGGTGGTGGGGGGAGGGAGAAGCAGGCTCCCCGCTGAGCAGGGGAGCTTGATTCCAGGACTCCAGGATCATGACCTGAGTGGAAGGCAGACGCTCAGCCAACTGAGCCACCCAGGCGCCCCAATAAGGCTCTTTTAATATCCTGCACAAATTTATTTAGCATCTACTACCATGTACCAGAGACCCTGTCCCAGGACCCTGCATCATGAGCTATATACATGGGCTAGATTCAGGAGGGCAAGAAACTCACCTGGTTTACTCACCTTGATGTTCCCAGTATTCAAGACAGTACCTGGCACTTAACTGTCAACTGAATAAATACCTGTCAATCTATGGACTAAACGAATCAGGTACATCACAAGTTTAATAAGAAATTGGAAATGAACCACCCGTGTAATGTTTTATCTATGTGGGAGATGTCTTGTGGATTTGAATAAACTGCTAAGAAACAGTCTTTTGGGTTCCATGCTGGGCGTGGAGCCTGCTTAAGATTTGCCCTCTCCCTCTCTCTCTCTCTCTTTTATTTAAATTCAATTAATTAACATATGATGTACTCTCTCTCTCTTAAAAAAAAAAAAAGAGAAACAGTCTTTTGAAACAGAGCCTGTTGATGAGCCAAAAAATGCCAGTATATGAAGGCAGAATATAAACATAATATCAGACCCGCAGAATAATGAATCCATAACACCTACGCTCACCCACCAGACCTCTCAGGAGCAGGAAGACATGAACACAAAGGTCGATATTGCCCCGTGATCCTCATGACAAGCAGCCAGAAGAGTGCCAAAGCCCACCAGCCCAGCCTAGAATGTGCGTCTGGCTTTTCCTCAACCCTCAAATTGCGTTCCAGGCCAGCATGTTTCTTTGGTGACTGTTCATCTCATAAATGGATGACTCATTTTAAGGCTCTCTGGCTCTAGTCTTTCGAGTGGTTGCCATAGGATTTTTCTTTCAAGGTTGAGAGTGGATGATTTCAAATTTGTTTCAATATCATAAATGTAAGTGAAGTTGAAGCTACCAAATGTTTCTGGATAAACTAAAGGCCTTGACAATTGTAAAAATATCCTTTAAATCTGGGGTACTATTGGACAGCATTAACAAAGGGTAACAATATGATACAAAAAAGATAATAGCACAGTGGTTTTTGAGGGTGATTTTCGCCCCCTCAGGGGACTGCTGGCAATGTCTGGAAACATTTTTGGCTGTCGGAAGTCTGGGGAGGGCTTTGCTACTGGCATCTAGTGGGTAAAGGTCAGGGATCTGTTCAACATCCTACAACACACAAGACAGCCCCCCACAATAAGGAAATGTCTGGCCCAAAAGGTTCATAGTCCAGAGGCTGAGAAACCCTGGCATAGCATACGTTAGGTCTGCTGTTAGGCCCAGATTACAGAGAATCTCCTTAAAATGATGGTGTCAGGAGCTATTAACAATCATTGATGAGTTTGGTTTAACATTAAATGCCTGCACTATGTATTCTTAAGTATATGGTGCATTATTCTGTATATTATACATGTATTACTCTGTGTATTATGTAAATAAACAGAATTATGGAAGTTATTTAAAACTAGCATTAAGAAGCACAAACAGCACAAACCAATTTAAGAGGAACAAACAAACCAAAGAAAGGTCTCGATACAACAGAATCTTGATCAACTGGAGAACAGTTCACCAAAAGCATTAACTAAAGAGTCTTCCTTCCCACCAGAAGTATACGTCTCCACATTTCGAAAAAAAAAGAAGCAAAAGACAAACTGCAAAACCAACAATCTAATATCTGTGATTTATTCAGAAAGGTCATTCTTTTGAGCTAAATTGCATCTTTACAAACAGACTTGATTTTCCCATGAAATAAAATCGATTGAAATAATTTTGGTTTTGGTCTATACCACATTGTTTTCTTATGTCCTTGAGACTAGTCTCTAATTGTGGCATTTCTTTAACCTCATCCAACTGTAAACTTCCCAAGGCCAAGGGAGCCAACAAGGAGTGATGCAGGGCTGCTCAAAATACGGCCCGCAGACCCAGGGCAGTGGAATTACCTGGACAGATGATTCTTGTTAAACATGCAGGTTTCTGGGCTCTAAGGCAGGTTTAGGGAATTAGGGTCACAAGGAACAGGGCTCGAGTGCCTTCATCATAAGCCAGCATCCCCAGATGATTCTTAGTTTTGCACAATGAAGGTTGAGACCCACTGGTACAGTGGTGAAGACTTGGGTTCAGATGGAAATGAGCTCTTTGACAAGATGCGGAACATCCCTGAGCCTCAGTGCCCTCATCAATAAGATGGAGCAAAGAACAAGACCACTCGCGGGTTTGCAGTGATCATATGAAACAATGCAAGGCAATTTCTTGGAGAGGGCTTATTAGCTCCCAGCAAGCCCTGAATACGTGGTAATTAAAGTTATAATATTAATCATCATTACTCTACATTTGCATCCCCCTTTTAAACCTGGCAGGTTTAGGGACACCAAAAACGCTTAAGAAATGTGCGCTGAATTCATGAATAAATGCGTCCACTGTGTGTTAGATGCCTTTTCTAGGTGTTTACAAGCTAGCCAGCAGGAATGTGGCTCCACATGGGTGAGGAGCAGAAGAAAAGACCAGATCAGTAAGTTAAGGCCCGAAAAATGGCATGCCATTTAGGTAAACCATACCAGGGGCTAAATTTCTTTTTAACCGTTTTCTACTGTTTGCACAACCAAGGTTCCCAGATAATCACAATGTGTTGCTGAAGCATGGCATAAGTTTAAACACCAGGCTCGCAACCAACATTTCTGAAAAGGGCTGCCTAGTTCTTTATAACTCCAAAGTGAGCACATCACCAGTGACAAGGAACTCCCTTCTTCACGAGCTTCTGCCAAAGCCAACCGTATCTGTGTAGCTGTCACACCCCTGTTTGGACTCTTAAAAGAAGTTATTCCTTGAGGGACTCAACAGAAGAACATTCGCTAATTTTTCTTCTCTTGATTTGTCATCCACTCCTTCTCAAAAGATCTTTAAGAAAATTTAACACCTCGGGGTGCCTGGGTGGCTCAGTTGTTAAGCGTCTGCCTTCGGCTCAGGTCATGATCCCGGGGTCCTGGGATCGAGCCCTGCATCGGGCTCCCTGCTCTGCGGGAAGCCTGCTTCTCCCTCTCCCTCTGCTTGTGTTCCCTCTCTCGCTGTCAAATAAATAAATAAAATCTTAAAAAAAAAAAAGAAAATTGAACACCTCTGCTACATCGGACATAATTTTTATGCTTTATTAATCTATTCTAGTCTGTTTTTTTTTAAAGAAGGAATTTTAGAAAATTCTGAACAGTTGGTATGTACAGCAGTCCATTTTTACCAGCTAGGCTGCTGGGGCTTAAATTCCACTTCTGCCACCTTCCCACCTTGTGGCTTTTAGGAAGCTATTTTCCCTCCTATGCCTTGTTTTCCTAATCCATGACATAGGGATGATGACCAGCCAGGGGTTGGCAAGCAAGTGCCTGGGAACCAAATCCTGCCGACTGATTGCTTTTGTAAATAAAGGTTTATCGGAGCACAGCCACACTCATTCACTTAGGTATTGTCTACTGCTGCTTTCACTGGCCTGCAAAGCTGAAAATATTTACTATCTGGCCCTTCACAGAGAAAGTCTGCTGACCCCTGGACCAGACTAAAAGTAAAGGCACATCTATGATTAGGATTTGTCTTTAGGATCAACATCTTCCTCCTCTCCTAAGATTTTCTCTGGGCAACATCCCAAAGAGCCTGCAAAGAAATCACACAACATAGTAAGCATTGGGGATATTGGAAAGTATGTAAAAGTTGGGGTGATATAAAAGGGTTATCTGCACATGGCCTGTTCACCGAAATTATTGATAAACCAAAGAAGTAGAAATGGACATTGTCGGGCGCCTGGGTGGCTCAGTCGGTTGGGCGACTGCCTTTGGGTCAGGTCATGATCTGGAGTCCTGGGATCGAGTCCCGCATCGGGCCCCCTGCTCGGCAGGGAGTCTGCTTCTCCCTCTGACCCTCCCCCCTCTCATGTGCTCTCTCTCTCTCATTCTCTCTGTCTCAAATAAATAAATAAAATCTTAAAAAAAAAAAAAGAAATGAACATTGTCGAGCCTGTACCGTGCTAACACCATCCACAAAACCAAAATGTCACTCACATCTCGTCTCCGGTGGAAAGAACCTTTCTGATGGTTAGTATAGAGGGGATACAGCAACATATTGGGAGTCCCCAAAGGCAAAAACATCAGAACAAAAGGCCAATTTCATTTCTGTATATCCTCAGTTGGATCGTGGACTAGTCTACCCGCCACCAATTTAATTCTGAGTTTTAAGTTTCACTTGAATCTTGGATGGAGAGGACGTAATGCAGCCTGCGCCGACCCCAGAGTGTGAAAAATGGAAATGTTTGCAAGAATTAGAAATTCTCAGTGACCCGGCCAGCAGCTGATGGTTTTGCTTCTCTCTCTCTAATTTAATTTAGTTCACTGACATTAGAAATGGCAGACCTCCGGGCATGGATTGGACCTTGAAGACACCGCTAGCACTCATGGACAGCTTAGTCTCTGCTAGTGAGTGCTCTAAGCCCTTCATTTGTGGTAGCTCGTTTCTTTCTTACAGCAGCTCTCAGGACTGTGTTACCATCATTATTCCCATGCTTCAGATGAGGAAACGTAGGCACGAGTCTTAGGTAACTTGTCAAGATCACACGCCTAGTAAGTGGCAGAGTTGGGATCCGAAGCCGGGCTGTGGGCTCCAGGATTCAGGCCCCAAACCACTTTATGCATTTCATCACTTCTCATGATAAATTGATCCAAACCCCTATGTTGACAAAGGAAGAAAGCAAGGTCCAAAGAAGTTAGCTGGCTCCTACAATAGCAGAGTGGGATCTGGGACATAAGGGTCCCATTCTGCCTCTTTCCCCCACGGGGTCTTTTCATTATGAGACACAGCCTTATAGCAGGGTAAGCCAGACAGTGTTTAAAAATCCAGGAGCTTACGTTTTTCCTCTTTTGTAAAACAGAGCACATTAGATTTTTTTCTAATTAGCTTTATCTAATATCCAAGTTGTTCTCCAAAGCCCTTATTTATCTTATCCACAGCAACTAAAATGTCGCACCGAGTTCAAGAAGTCCGGAGGAGAAGATAAGCCACTTTATTCTTTCCGAACTCAAAACGGCCTGTGCCGAAGCTTTTGCAGAAAGCAGCCCAGTTAATGCTGTTCCCTGTCATCATGGCATGCTCCTCTCTGCTCCGCTTTGCTCATTTCAAGCTGCTCTAACATTATCAACCCATCTAAAAATAACATTCTCATAAATCTCCCCTGGCACAGACAGTACTTGGGCTGTCGCACATCTCAGACACAGATCAATCCACTTTTCTTCCCAAATCACAAGATAGATGTGTAAGAATCACAGCATTTTAGCACAATCATCTTCTCGAAAAGAAGTATAAGCATAGATATTTATATTGCTTACCCATGAATTACATTCGGCCGGGTCTGTGCTGTCCTAATTTAACCGAGCTAAGCTTGGAGTAGGAACTTGAGTCTGTTTTGGTTTGTTTTTTTAAATTATTCTTTTGGTGAAAGATGCAGGCTGCAATGGTAGATTACCACGGGTGTCTGAGAAATGGCCCAGCTCGCAGAGCTGTGTCTCCTACGGTACCTTTTGTCGCCAGAGACCTCTGCTACTGTGAATCTTGGGACCAAAAAGAAAAAAAAAAAAAGCAATCTTGTCATTGGACCATTGAGAAGTTCCTGTCCCTTCAGAACGAGGCAGGCTGTGTCACTGAGTGAGCGTGCAAGTGAGTCAGTCAGTGTGCGTGTGTGTGTGTGTGTGTGTTGAGAAGTTCCTGTCCCTTCAGAACGAGGCAGGCTGTGTCACTGAGTGAGCGTGCAAGTGAGTCAGTCAGTGTGCGTGTGTGTGTGTGTGTGTGAGAGAGAGAGAGAGAGAGAGAGAGAGAATGGGGGAGGGAGGGATGAAAAGAATGCAGAGAAATTGAAACTGGATTTCCTGATTTTCATTTTAATAAGTATTTTGAAGAGATATTCTGGAGTGAGGAAAAGATTCCTCTTAAAAAAAAAAAATCCCCTTTTCCACAGGGATCTACAAATGGTAATTGGATTGTAACTGTGCAAACTGTCCTTATTAGGAATCAACCAAAGAATGTTGGAAGCCTCGGGTAAAACCCGGGAGAGCATGATAAAGCACATAGGACGCTTTCTTTGTGTAGAGCCAATTCTCAACTCTTAGATTATATTTTAAAACCACAGGCGTCTTCATTTTCCTAACACTAGGAAAAAAACTTTGAAAAAGGAAAAGATTTCATTCTCTTTTATACTGAGCATAACACATGCTCTGAATTTTATGCTCTTTGTGGAACAATAGTCCTTGAGAAGTTGTTCATTTCCTGAACAGAGGGTGTGGAGAGCAAGAGTGGATATAATCACGTGGCCATGTTTAAGAGGGTGCAGGTGGGAGTTGGGGGTGGCGGGGAGAAATCCATAAAGAGCAGAAAGAAAAGGAAAGATTTTAAAAACATGCCCCGATCGCTAACTACCTTGATCTCCATGTATGCCACATGGCACTGAGGCAAAAAAACAATTCAAAAAGACATTTTTGTTTTCCAGTCGATACAAAGTTATAGTTCTCTTGCGGTCTCAAGTGAATTCCAAATCTCACTGTGATTATAACTGACAAACTGAGAAATGATTTCATGGAACATCTTACTCAAAACTTAGAGATTTGGGTATGCTTTTTTACTAGGATTCTGTGAGGCTAATCATCCCTTGATATAAGCCACACACAGCTTCTGTTGCTGCTGGTATTTATTCAGCAAGAGAAAGGCATTTAGAAACAATAAAATACATCAGATGGTTTTCTTTACTAGAACAATTACACTCAAAGAGAAATTCTGAGTCAAAATTTACCTGTCACTACATAAACCTTCACCTCCGTCCACTACCCCAAAAACTCAGATGTTGAAAATAGTCATCATTCCAGCAGAGAGCGACTCATGTAATCTGGATACTTGCTAATGGAATTTAGACCCTCATTTAATGTATTTCATATAATATTTCACATGAAATTGATAAATATGCAATTCATTTGTCATTGCTAGGCAAGTGATCTTTTAGGTTATGAATACATGAAAACGACACGTAGTTCTCATTGTGAGCTTTCTAAGTGCTCACAATGCTTTTTCGAAGCATTTTATGGGTGTTGATTCATTAACTGCTAAAAGAATTATAACGAGTGGGTTATATTACATCCCATGTTACAGATGAGGAAACAGAAGTTCAGGGAGGTTGTAAAGATTCGAAGCTTGTAAGTACTGCAGCTGTGATCCCAACCACTATGAGGCTTACAAATTAACTGGATGGCAAAGCCACAGTCCACAGCCCACACTAGTCAGGGCCATGTCATAAGCGTCTAATGAGAAATAGACACAGCAACTTAACAAGAATGATTACCCAAGACTGGAGCGGCCTGTTAAATCAATTATTTAATGGTCAGGTCAACAAATGTTTCATAAGAAAGTGACTATTTCTTTAAGTGAACAATCTCAAATAATCTCAAGAGACAACGTCTTGGGAAATCCCTAGTCTAAGAGTGGAATCAAGTAAGTCTGGTCTGGAGAGGAAATTCAGAAATAATGGAGAAGTCGTGTATCTCTGGCATTCTTTGGAAAAATGCAGTCAAGCCAGAAAAATGAAGGGTGAAGATAAAGAATCTTCTTTTAATTAAATATCAGCCCCTCTTTAAGTAGAACCCATAAGATGCCAAAAAGTCACCCAAACGGCCTTAGAAATAAATATCGGGAAGCAATGAAAAGGTCCAATCCACGGAAGAGCTTGCTAACCAAAATGCCTAGAATACAACAGCGATCCTTTATCCATTTGACTCTTCATTAGGCAAGGGCGCCATGCAACAGCCTCCAGCTTCAGAATCCATGCCCTTAAGTATTCACTCCACCTTCTTCTTTGGCCCTTCTTCTGCATTATTTCTGTGTAAGCCATCAGGGACATTTTGCACATTCAGGGCAAAAATATTATAGAACCACTCTGTGGTTCAAACTCTTGGGGTGAGTACATTCCCAATGACAACACTCTTTTGCTTAAAACCCTCCGATGTCTTCTCTATAGCTCCGGGACAAAGCCCGCCTTCCTTAACATGGCATCATCCACTGCCACGTGTGTTGATTTAAATGGAGTAAAATCAAGTAGTCACTGCACAACAACAAATAATAACAAAAATGATAATAACAGAAATGTACTGAGCATGTATTAAGTACTAAGCAGTGTACATGGGTCATGTGTTTACTCCCTTCCAGAACTCTATGATACAGAGGAGGGGATGGAGACACAGAAACAGAGGAAAAGGCTGATGGGCTGCTCACAGACTCTTTCACTCTTTCCTAGCCTCCTCCGCAGGTAGTAGCAGTCATATGACTAAGCTGTAGCCAACGACTGTGGGAGAAAGCGATAAGCTTCACTTCTGGCCCATGAAAGCCTGGAGACAATAGTTCTCAGAGCCACATGTGGCAGTCCCAGGCAGAAACCACACTTCTCAATATTCATGTCCTAGCGTCCCCTGCCCTTCAGTCCCTGCTGGCCCTGTGGTTTGCTTGAAGCAATCGAATGTGGCAGAAATGATGCGGAGGTTATTCTGGACCGAAGACTTAAGAGGGCCTGGCAAATTCTGCTTTTGCATCCTTGGGACCCTCCTTACCACCATGTCCTAAGTCTGGCTACTATGTTGGAGAGACCATGTGGAGAGAGACTGTAAAGCTCAGCTGTCCCAACGTCTCAGTGAAATCCAGCCTCCAGCCAACCTCCCGTTTGCGTAAAGCCTCCTAAGCGACCACTGTCAAGCCCAGCTCCGACCACAGAACCACGAGCAAATAAAATGGTCGTTGTTTTAAGCACCAAGGTTTGGGGCAGTATGTGATGCAGCCACAGATAACCAAATCAGCATCTTCCTGTGGTGAAGAGAGCAGAGCCCGGGTCCTTGAACCCATGTTTGAAGCATAGCCATCCCAGCAGTTGTGGACACCGGGACAACGTGAGGGAGGAATACACTTGCACGGTGGGAATTGGGGATGTATGTGATGTAGCAGCTAACCTTACCTTCCTTAACCTAAACCATCTCACTCTGGAGTCCTAGACCCTGGAACCTCTCCCGTACGTCTCCCCACTGAACCGCCTAACAGCTCATTCCTTGACTTTCTACATTTTCACGTGGAAAGAAAGTAGCTGGTCAACTGGATGATAAAATAAAAACTAATCTTTATAAATCATTTTGCAGATTATGTAGAAAGTCTTTTATGAGCAATTAGATAAATGTATGTCTAATGGCATCCTTCAGTTTTTAAATAATATACAGTCAATATTTAGAAACAGGTGATGCTTTTATCTTTCAGAATTACAACTCCATCTGATAAAATGGCATAATGAATTTCATTTAGATTACATTCATTACTGATAAATTGGTCCAATTAACCTCTTTTGACCAATACCATAGAATTGGCACTTAAGGCCTTAATGTTTTCTGATTATACATTAAAAATGCAAATCGTGAAGGACATTTTAGTCCTGCTGCTACCTTAAAGCACACAATGAAAATGTGGTATCTTTTAGTTTAATTATCTATCAGACCCTACCTTTGGATTGATCAGAACTTGCGGAGGTGGGGTGTCAAGTAACAAGCACAGAAGGAAGACTCTGCATTCTCTTGCTCCTGTCATTTGCTTCTTTAACCGTAGCTCTCTCTGTCCTCTCCTCGCCCCAGCACTTGACCTTGGTCTAATCTCTAGCATCCTCCTGCTACTACTGTGACCCATTTGCAGGGAGAGTGAATTTTAGATCCTTCAGATCTAAAAACCTACCATCAAAGCAAAGTATTAGGTAACTGGAAAGTTACTGAAGGCCACAGATCCGAAACAGTCAAAACCATAATAAAGAACATCTAACAGCTAGTGCTCATTGCCTCCATGGATACTTGCTATATGGTCAAGGAGGCAGATAATAGGATTCGCCCCGTTTTGCAGAGGAGAAAACGGAGACAAAGGGAACTTAAATAACTCGCACGACTAGGGAGTAAGGAGTGCAAACCTAGGTGGTCTGTTTCCAAATGCAACGGGTTTAACCCTTAGGCTACATCCCAGGGAGCCAGTGACCTTTATTTTTTTTCATTGAATTCCTTATGGACTGAGTGTCCAAAGGCAAAAAAAAAAAGAAGAAGAAGAAAAGCTGTTGAGGCAACTGCCTCCAGAAGCAAGGGGAGGGACTGGGGTTTGTTTTCAGGAAAGAGGAGCAGGCATTTTAGAAAACTTCCGGAGTGTCGGATCCTTTGCCAGTAGGAATACGCACCCTACATTTTGGGGCAGAGGTGTAACACGAGGAAAGGGGTGCTTGAGGAAAGGTGAATGAGGCAGAGTGGTGCAGAACAGATAGGAAGGGGCTAGTGAGAGCGAGCAAACCGGGAGGTCTACAGTGTGAGCGGTAAATGGAGGCCCCACGCACGACATCGACTGACAAAACAAGGCTTCCGGCAGCCATAACACAGGCACCCCTTAGGGAGGCTTTCTTTAGGAGAGTCCCTCAATTTTTCCAAGAAATGTGGATCCCCAGGGAGGCAGGTCCAGTATTGTACTTGGAGAA